GTTGTCATTGCTCTTACTGAATAAGATTCTCAGTTCTTACGGTGTTCATTTGATAAGGTAATTATGTGATTTGATAAATGTTTACTTTGGTAAACGACCCCTAATTCTTGGCATTTCTAAAATACGAAATAAAAAGAAAAGAAAAGATATCGCTTTATAGATATGGATGGTGTCATGGTGATATCTAAAGAGATGGAAAATTGAACACTTTCCTTTTTTGATTTTTCTTAGCTCTTCGTCTTTCGGTTGAAAATCAATGTCCACGAAGGAAAAAGATAAACATTTAAGATCTATTTGCCTGTGTAATTTCATAAAAGTTTTGATTATTTTATAATATAAAGTATTGATTATAATTAATAAACCTTAGTCATCTTCCATCAATATTCAAAATCATTATAAATGAACTTTCATCATTTCCATAAATATATCAATTGATTGGCTTATATTGGTTGTATAAATGTGATGAGTTGCATTTGAAACGTCCTCTCTCTCTCTCTCTCTCTCTATATATATATATATATATATATATATATATATATATATATATATCTCCTTGAAAAACACCATGACATTAAGGTGATCATGGCCTTTTATCTGTCTGTTTTGAATATATCGGATCATCTTGGAACAATGAACATTTTTTGTTTTTGATTAATGCAAACGAGTTCTACTTAGTGAAACTGTCGGTTGTGTAAGGCAAACAAGTTCTTGTGAATTGGAAATAAGGGATCGTTTACTCAAATACTTACTCGATAAACGCTTATCTGTAAGATTCGACATTATTATTTATCTTATTGGATAAAATTTTAATCTATCAAAAGGGTATCATATGTTGTTGTTTATTTGAGTCGTCGCCCTCATTTACTAGGTAAGACTTTCTCAGTTGTTGTCATTGTTGTTATTGGATAAGATTCTCAGTTCTTACAATGTTCATCTGATAAGGTAATGATGTGATTTGATAAATGTTTGATAAATGACCCCTAATTCTTGGCATTTCTAAAATACGAAATAAAAAGAAAAGAAAAGATATTGCTTTATAGATATGGATGGTGTCATGGTGATATCTAAAGAGATGGAAAATTGAACGCTTTCCTTTTTTGATTTTTCTCAGCTCTTCGTTTTTTCGGTTGAAAATCAATGTCCATGAAGGAAAAAGATAAACATTTAAGATCTATTTGCCTGTGTAATTTCATAAAAGTTTTGATTATTTTTAATATAAAATATTGATTATAATTAATAAACCTTAGTCATCTTCCATAAATATTCAAAAATCATTATAAATGAACTTTCATCATTTCCATAAATATCTCAATTGATTGGGTTGTATTGGTTGTATAAATGTGATGAGTTGCATTTGAAACGTCCTCTCTCTCTCTCTCTCTCTCTCTCTCTATATATATATATATATATATCTCTCCTTGAAAAACACCATGACATTGTTGTAACTCGTAGGCTTGAGACTTGACCTTGCCGCCATGCCTCATGTCATTTAGAACCTTGTTCAGAACTGTTAACAAAGCTTCAAATTTGACCAATTTAGATACATTGAAACAATGTTTTTTTGACTATTTGTAACAATTTGTTCGGCAAGAGGCTCGGAATTAAACTTAATTCTCTTTTTGTATTTTATAGCGTAACCATGTGACCTTTACGATAAAATTACAACTCTTAATCAACCCGGGCTTGAATTCTTTCATTAACACATGTGTTTATGGTCATCGGAAGATCGACCTCAAGACTCTGGACGAAATATGTCTACTTTATCATATACAAATAAGTGGATAGATATTCACCGATAATTATTTCACATATTTAAATTAACTAACATAAAACGTAAATCTGTCAAGAATTTAATAAATTAGCGGCAGATTACGGACGGACACATCCATCACTGACTTTATATAATCATTTAAATAATTAAATTAATAGATCAACGGTGGATTACCAGCGGACATATCCATCACTAATTTAACTCATCGAAATATTTAGAGTCTCGATCAAGTTTTTACGATCAATCGGAAAATTATCACCGACAGATTTAGTGGCGGACAAAATCCACCGGTGTTGGACCCGCGTAGTGATCAGCCGGTAAAATCAATCGGGCAACCAACTTTTAGCAACAATAACTTCCACAATTAATCCGTTGCCGATGCCTTTCACCGGCAGATCCCTAGCGGATTTGTCCATCAGGGAATACCTTCAATTTTGTATCGACAATTTTACGATGGAGAAATCCTCATTGAACCGGTCAAAGCTTTTAGATCTCGCATAATATTATGTGAATTAACGTCATTATACAAAAAGCACATATCGGACCTTGTATATATGCCACAACTATAGTAATGGTTCATCACCTGTCTAATAGATTTCTTTTCACTAACAAAATACGAATAAAACCAATCAAAAGAACCAATAGCGTGCAACAACAAAGGTTCTTCTTTACGAAAAGAAGTGCAAAATGATACTTGGAACAATAACAATGAAAACCACTTGACATAAAAAAACCACAGAGCATCGAATCGACATACGTAAGCATAACCATAAGCCAATATCCAAAACGACGTACGTTAGTTCATACCATATGGAAAACAAAGAGTATAGAAACCAATTTTTAAACTCAACGTAGAACGATATGACAAATAAATACAACCATATAAAAATAATGTTGCATGATGCAAAACGAACATGACGCCACAAATAAGACACACGTGTATATACACGCATATGCACATATACATATGTATGTAAACGTTCAAACGAGAACACCTTTGTTTTACGAGAACGCGGGAACAACCTTATCACATGTGATAATACGCGTGAAGGGACCTTGTGATGTGCGGACAACGTGTTCTACGACTTAGGTCGCGCCAAAGGTTGTCTGCGTCTATGATTTAGCATCACATGTGATGGTCTTGATGGATTATAGTATCATATCAATAACCTTATCACATGTGATAATACTTGTGAGGGGCTTAGTGGTGTAAGGGCGACTTGGCCTGTAACCGAGATCGCATCGAAAATTGCTCCATCTCTGATTTAGTATTACATGTGTATCATATGTGATGGAATAATAACATCACATGTGATTGTCTATAGTAAAAAGGTGTTTCGACGTTCTTGTAAAATGAATGTGTTATCGCTTGAACCATTCCCTACATATGTATATATATACATATATGCATTTGTTTTTTTTTGTAATCTTACAGTCCAATTAGTCTACAATTTGTTGACATAATGTGTAAGGCCTCAGGTTTGAATCCAGGCACCATCCCTTTACCAATGGGATGTCTGCACGATTCACCTCTCCATAATGATCGTGGGACCAGTACAATAAGAGTGCTCTAGAGGATGCCGACTACCTTTATTCTAGTCTACAAGCTCATACAAATCAATATGCATGAATTAGAACGAACTTGCATACATATATTTACATCTTACCCTCCTCAGACCCTACGTTGTACGGGAGTACTATTTGGTTTGGTTTTAGAACAAACTTTAAACCAGGGATGAACCCAAGAATTTTTGGATACGGTGACACCATATAAAACGGTTGCATCTTCTAGAATAAAACTGTTGCACCTTTCACGAACCTATTTTTTTTTACCTTACTACGGAGAAACAATACAATGGCACATATCACCTAATCACCCCTCTAGGTCCGTCTATGCTTTAAACCTACCATCCTTTGCATAATTGATACCACCTGAAGAGAATCCAACCAAGATATCCAAATTGAACAGAAAACATACAAAACACCATGATTTGTGTTGTGTGTGTGAGTATGAGAGTGTGTGTGTGTGTATGTGTATATATATATGTATATATATGTACATATATAAACACATGTGCACATAAAGAAGGCCATGTAGATGATGAGCATTAGAAGACAAGAGGTGGAAGTTCCAGGCCCTGGCACATCCCTGTCCTCAAAGAGTGAAAATCAGACAGGCTTAACAGTAGCCTCTGTGGACCATCATTTTCCCTTTAATTTCAAGCCCCACCTAATAAAAAATGAAAGCCCAGCCCCACCCAAAACCAAACACACACACACAGACAGACAGTAAGATTGCCTTATCCTACCCACACCTCAAATTACTAAACAAAGATCAATGAACAACTTCCTCTGCACAATGTACAACCATTCACCTCAACTTGGTCATTTTAGGTTAAGAAATAAGCTTTTTGACCCTGTTACTAATGAAAGATTTACACAAATAACCATTTTATAAAATTTATTTCATTTTAGTCATTTAAGATTTAAGAACCCTTTTTTCTTAAATAGCTAAAATTTATAAAGAAAAGGGTAGCTTCTACATAAAGTTTTTTACCGAGCAATTCAAGAAGGTATTTATGTAGGAAAAAAACTTAAAAACCGGGACTTCATGCATTTTCTACGCAAAGTTTCTAATTAATTAAGAGAATTTATGTTTCATACGTTATAATTAGTTACTTAATTTACTTTAATATCCCTTATTTCTTCATTTCTTATTTTATACCATTATTATATTACCACCCATTTTAGGTAAAGTTTAAGTGTAAACTTTGATTATTTGAAGAAAAAAGTTGAGGGGCTAAAAAATGAAATCAATTTTGTGAAAGGACTGTTAATGTAAATTTCCAATTCTTAATGAGAATGTAGGAAAGAACAAGGCAACAAAAGCATCTCAGGATCACAAGACTGCTACCATCATATACAAAACATATAAACCTCTTTCATCTCTCTCTCTCTCTCTCTATATATATATATATATATTCTAATGGAAGAGATGAAGAACACAAGGCAATAATAAAGGACAAACTGGACCAGCCAATAACACCAGCCTCACAAATTTCCCACTTTTCTACTCAAAACCAGACCCATCTGCTTCTCTCTAATGCTTTCTATAACCAAATTTCCCACTTTTCCTTGATGGGTTGTAGGAGACACTTTCTTGAACCACACCCTCTACCCCTACCCCCCACCCCCACCCCCACCCCACCCATCTACCTCCTTTTTCTCTTCATGTTTGCTGTTTGCAAAAACCCAACCTGAAAACCTGCATTTCATCTATGTATGCATGCTACAGAGCTGTTACAATCTACCCTTCCATTATCAAACAAAGTCTTTGGGGTCGGTCCCATTTGATAGAAATATGTCGTCTTAAAAGATTCCTTTTTTACAACAGTTTTAGGTTTTCATCAACTTGATCTCCTCTTCAACCATCCATCTGTTAGCATTTAGATTTGATCTTGTTTAGATTTTAAGTGGAGAGAGATCTTAACTGGAGGTAATCTTGGTTTAGAGAGAGAGATTAGAAGTCAAGAAAAATGGAAGTTAGAGAGAGGGAAACTATAAGTCACAATAACCCACCTCAGTCCAATCAGGAATCATCTTCAATGTTCAGCTATGGAACTTTAAATTCTTCAAGAAATGAAACCCCAGATCAGCTTCGTCTCCATCTGCATCAGAGAAACAATATTCATGGATTGGAGTTACAAGAACAACAAATGGAAGCACATAGACGAAGAACCGAATCAAACCCAGATCCAGATCCGGTGTCTCAAACACTGCCACCACCACAACCATCTGCCACCGAGAGTGCTGCAGTTGCAGTGGTGGTCAGGTATCGGGAATGCCTAAAGAACCATGCTGCCAGCATGGGCAGCCATGTCGTAGATGGCTGTGGAGAATTCATGGCTAATGGAGAAGAAGGCACCCCAGAAGGTTTAAAATGCGCAGCCTGTGAATGCCACCGGAGTTTCCACCGGAGAGAGGTAGAAGGCGAGTCACAATCCACCACCACCACAAGGATACATAATTCACCACCTCGAGTTGCCGCAATGCAGCCCATTCCAGCATCATTGCCTTATCAGCAACACCACAGGTACCACCACCAGATGCCACCCTTCATGGTGGCATTTGGTGGTGGGAACAGTGTTGCACCGACAGAATCATCAAGTGAAGACCTTGACGCCTTCCAAACACACGCAGGAGGACACATGATGATGGAGCAGCCATCCAAGAAAAGATTCCGTACAAAATTCACAGAAGAGCAGAAGGAAAAGATGCGAGATTTTGCAGAAAGAATAGGGTGGAAGATTCAAAAGCAAGATGAGCAAGAAATACAACAGTTCTGTAATGAAGTTGGATTGAAGAGACAAGTGTTCAAAGTATGGATGCACAACAGCAAACAAGCTATGAAGAAGAAACAAGTGTAAGATTGATTGATCTCCGATTCTATAGACGAATTTGAGTAGTTTTCTTCATTTTCTTGACCCCATGTGTATAGGGTTTAAAAATGCAGATAGTAAAACTACCAAACAACCCCATAATAACTCCCATGATATTAACTAAGCAATAAGTATCCATGAGCTTCTTGTGCTACTTTCACTAGGTCAAACAAATGATCTCCTAATTTCAAGATTCTTATGGAATATTTTTATTTCTTTTGATCAATCACCTGCTTAAAGAAGGTCCAAGAACATAAACAAAAACAAATTGATGTGGGAATGCCAAAAAAAGGTACAAATTTAATAGAGAAACCCATCAAGTTCTTCACTTTGTGCTCAACTTGTTGTCAGAAGCCTAATTTCTCCCCAAAATTTACAGTACTAATTAACCTGTTCCTTCTTGTACTATGTCTTCATAGAGCTTTCACTGTGCACCCTTCAATACTGGGACCATGATAGTTTCTTTCACATTAAAGAATTGTACCTTACACAACAATACATGTACTCTAGAATCTCAAACCCCAGGTACAGACACAATATATGCAAGTCTTGGAAGAATTTAACAGTATAGATAATTTATGAGCTGTGAGATTCTCTAGGAACACAACAGCAAAGATTGTGAGGTAGTTCTACAAGACAATTATGCTTCACAATTTATTAAATTTAACAGAAGAAGATAGGACTTGGCTTTTAGAGAAGAGAAGATGAGAAACTTGCCTCAGCAAGACTGCATTAGATCCAATGGTTGCATGGTGACATTAGAGGTGGCCTGCAAAATCTCTACAATCCAAATCCCACCAAAACAATAATATTAAAAAACAGAAAAAGAATCCAAACATCTAGATATAATTAAATACTAATAAATATGAAACCCTAAACCATTTTTTGGGTTAATTATTTAATAGGGAAGGGGGAGAACTGCTACTAACAAAACCTAACCCTGCAGAGGATAATCAAGATATATCATCTTTGGAAGATGGTAGTTGGTAGGCTGATCCGGAGTTCTTTAGGTCAAGCTGAATGGCAACGAAGCTCAAGTTTGTTACTTGATTAAAAACTTATAAGAAACTTGTAGATCAAACACAAACTACACATGGAAAGGTAAAAGATAGCTCTAGGAAATACAAGTTCAAGTCACCAACTTATCTGAAGATATAACTCGATACAATATAAGCTTTTGGTCAGAGAACCGACAATATATATATATATATATATATATATATGAAGGAAATAACTTTTAGATAGCAATAGAAGCATAAACACATGTACACAACCTTGGTTGGTGAGTGTCGAACGACTGATACATGAACAATGTAGTCATTTCTCGTTTCTTCAAATGTCACCAAGGTGTCTTCCAACAAGCGTTTTAGTTTTGACAGGTTGGGGAAGTCGGTCAAGGGTTGCTTCTAATAATCTTACCAATTTACAAAGATATCATGGACCAACTAAATCAAGCCATGTTTCCTAATCCTACAAGACTATCTAGGAAGAGAAAGCAATAAAAGTAAGTCTTATAGAAGCAACATTTTATTGTGAAAACCAAATCATACCTTATAAACGCAAGGAACACAAACTAAACCAACTCCATTAATTAGGGGCATAAGGATACAAACGCAACCTAGAATAATCTTATTACACTTCCGAGTTCCAACAGGGAAGACCATCATGTATAACTTAGATTTGTGTAACAAAGAACCTATGGTAATCTAACACGGATATCCTACTTACAAGGAGAGAAACAAAGAGGAAAAAGAACCTCATGGAGCAACACCACCGTGATAGCAAGGAAGGGCCTTTTTGTGGGATTCTTGTAGCTTCTATGTTCTTAGTATTTCTCCTATATTCCCTGCAGCATCCGATGCTTTTTCCTTAGCCTCAATCATCGAGTCTTTTGCAGCCCCATAAGTGTCATCGGCCTTAGCTTTAGCTGCATCATAAGCATCACCTGCTTGATTTTTAGCATCAGATGCTTTTTCCTCGGCAATCACATAAATTTCCTGAGCCTGCTCATTCATCAAGTCCTTTGCAGCCCCATAAGAGTCATCAGCCTTAGCTTTTGCTGCACCATAGGCATCAAGTGCTTCATCTTTTCCATGAGACATCGCTTCTCCAAAAGAATCTTTAGCCTCACCAGCCTTCTCTGAAGCCATATCTTTAGCCTTGCCCGCCAGATCTGAAGCCATATCTTTGGCCTTGTCGGCCTTCTCTGAAGCCATTTCTTTAGCCTCGCCGGCCTTCTCGGAAGCCTTATCTTTAGCCTCTCCGGCCTTCTCGGAAGCCTTATCTTTA